GGTACATAAATTTAACTTAATTGTTCATTATTTGAAATATAGATTAGTTGGTGTAAATTTTCTGTGATGAGAGAAGTTGATGTTGTCTTGAAGTCTCTCAAAGTTCTTTTATGAACCAGGTAAAGCCTCCATAGCTATCATGAGCTTTCAAGAATATATACTCCGTTAACGAGTGAAATGAATTGATTTTATGATAATATTGCATAGTGTAATGTTATTGAATAACTAAGTTTGAACAGTGCTGCAATTGCAGGTGTTCTCAGGAAAAAAATCATTTATCATAAGAGTTGTTGAGCCAGTATTGTGGTGATGGGAAAAGAAATGGGAGTTGAAAAGCTTCTGGTTTTGTTTTTGGTACTAATCTCAATAAGATATTCAGAGCAATTGCAATCATCTCAAGTGCAAACTCTTTTGAGAATTCAACATCTTTTGAACTATCCAACAGCTTTGAGTAGTTGGAATAATGAGACAGATTTCTGTAAGATTGAGCCAAGTTCAACTGTTACTGTTGTGTGCTACGACGAAAACATAACTCAGTTGCATATAATAGGGAGAAAGGGGACTTCCCCATTACCTAGAAAGTTCTCCATTCGTTCATTTGTCAACGCGCTTGCCAAGCTTCCTAGCTTGAAAGTCCTTAGATTAGTTTCTCTTGGTTTATGGGGGCCATTGCCTGAAAAACTTTCGAGAGTTTCAGCTCTCGAGATACTTGACTTGAGTTCAAATTACTTTCACAGTGGCATACCTGAAGCAGTTTCATCCTTGACGGACCTCCAAACTTTAGTGTTAGATGGAAATAGGTTGACTGGCAGAATTCCAGATGGCCTTGGTTCACTTTCAGTTTTGGCAGTTTTGAGTTTGAAGAGCAATTCACTAGATGGACATTTGCCAGATACACTGCGTGATTTGTATAATCTTCGTGTACTTTCACTTTCGAAGAATAATTTTAGTGGTGATGTACCTGATCTAAGCAGTTTACAAAATCTTCAAGTTTTAGAATTAGAGGACAACTCTTTTGGTCCAAAGTTTCCTCAAACTGGAAGTAAAATAGAAAGCATTGCACTGAGAAATAACAAATTTACTGCAAACATACCAGACAAAGTTCAGTCCTATTATCAGCTTGAGCATTTTGATATTTCTTCCAACAACTTTATGGGGCCATTTCCTCCGTCGTTGCTATCTTTGTCATCCATCACTTATCTGAATGTTGCAGGAAACAAATTAACAGGAATGCTCTTTGAAGATAATCCATGTAACACAGCATTAGATTTTGTTGATCTGTCTGGTAATCTGTTGACAGGATCATTACCTAGTTGCCTTCTGTCTAGTTCTAGGAACAGGATTGTGCATTTTTCAAATAACTGCTTAGCAACCGGAGATGATACTCAACATCCATTTTCATTTTGCCGGAATGAGGCTTTGGCTGTTGGTGTCTTACCTCAACATCAAAGACAAAAACATGCTTCTAAAGTGATTCTTGCCTTGATCATATGTGGTAGCATCACCGGTGGAGTCATACTCGTATGCCTGACCATCTTGATTGCCAAATCTTTTCTTGCAAAGAAGGCTTCTGCCCAAAATACGCCAACCAGATTTATTTCAGAAGATGCATCATCTTCATATACCTCCAAGTTATTCACAGATCCAAGTAAGGTTCCTGTCTTCTTTCGCTATGTCTGCCTATATTCTTTGCATTCTTATACTCGCTCTCTGCTTCCTAGATGCATCAAGGAAACTGAAGGTGAGGGCTTTATAACTAACTTGATACCTATGTATTTATTGTATAAGGATTCATTACTCAAGCAATGAAGCTAGGAGCACTTAACCTTCCATCTTATAGAATATTCTCTCTAGAAGAACTTGAGGCCGCAACGAACAACTTTGATACAACAACTTTTATGGGTGAAATTCCTAATGGCCAGGTATGGTATATGAACTCTATTGTTCTTTACTGCTATATCATTGAGGTCTTTGGGTGTTATACTTTTGCCATATTAGTAATGTCGCTCACGTGGCAGATTTGGAAGTGAGTTTCAAGTATTTGGGGTCAATAATCCATGGAAATGGAGAGATTGATGACGATGTTACACATTATATTGGAATATCGGAATGAGGTGGATGAAACGGAAGCTTGCATCTAGAGTCTTGTGGGATAATAATGTGCCACCAAGTCTAAAGGCAAGTTTTTTAAAGTGGTAGTCAGACCAACTATGTTGTATGGGGCGGAGTGTTGGCCGGTCAAGAACTCGCATGTCTAGAAGATGAGAGTAGCGGAAATGAAAATGTTGAGATGAATGTGTGAACTTATTAGGAGAAATATGATCAGGAATGAAGCTATTCGGTACAACGTGGGAGTGGCCTCCATGATGGACAAGATGAAGTTGGCAATATTGAGATGGTTCGGGCAAGTGAAGAGGAGCTGCACATATGTCCCATTGAGGAGGTGCGAGAGGTTGGCTATAGTGGGTATTAGGAGTGATAGAGGTAGGTCGAAGAAGTTTTGGAGAGAGTTGCTTAGATATGACATGACTTACATGCAGCTCACCGAGGATATGACCCTAGATAGGAAGATATGGAGGTCGAGGGTTAGTAGGTCAGAATGTTTCTAGTTTCCCTTTTTAGTATTGCTATCTATTATTACCCTTCTACGATCTTATTTTTCGATATCAGTTTTACTGGTTTTCTCCTTTGCTTCAGTTATCATATTAATTTTTGTTACTACTAATCCTTTCTTCATTTTGTATCAGCATGACTTCTTCGACTATGTTTGCTTTACACACATGTTTTCTATATGTTTTACTTGAGCCAAGTATGTATCGGGAACAACCTCTTTACCTTCACAAAGGAAGGGGTAAGGCTGCATACACTCCACCCCACCCTCCCCAGATCCCACTTGGGATCATACTGAGTTTGTATCGGTATGGGCGTTATAGTAGAGAGGTGGTGTTGGACTTGTAATAGTAATGCCATCTGTTTGTTCTCTATCATTTTGGCACAAAAGGATGAGTGTGACTCTTGAAGAGTAAACCTATTAATATTACCAGCTGTTCTCGAGGACTAAGGCTCACAAACGTTTTCTGTTTGTGATTCAGATGTACAGAGGACAGATGAGAGATGGTTCCTATGTTACGATTAGATGCCAGATAATGAAAAGAAGCAACACTAGGCAAAATTTTATGCATCACATAGAATTGATATCTAAGCTCAGACATCAGCATTTGGTCAGTTCTCTTGGACACTGCTTTCAGTTTTACTCGGATGATTCAAGTGTCAGTAGAATTTTTCTCGTCTTTGAATACGTACCTAATGGGACCCTAAGAAGATGGACTTCTGGTAATTACTTGACAAGCAGATATAAACCCCTTCCTATTGTTGGATGTAAATGTGCTTCAGTAATTTGATGTTCTCTGCTTCTTATTTGCAGATAAACATGCTAGACGGAAACTAACCTGGACACAACGTATAGCAGCTGCTACAGGGGTAGCAAAGGGCCTGCAATTCTTGCATAATGGAATTATCCCTGGCCTCTTTTCGAATAATTTGAAGATAACCGATATTTTGCTGGACCAGAACCTTGTCGCCAAAATTAGCAGCTATAATCTGCCTGTTCTGACGGAGAATATCGGAAAGGTGTGACTACCAACCTATCAAAGTTCATGTCATTCTTTTGTACTCACACCAGCAAAAGTAGTTCATGTATATGCCACAGTACTAACTTATGCATATTTGCAGGAATACTGTCAAACTATTCCAGTTGGTTATAACCAGAGGTGTGTACAAATTATTATAAATCATTCTATGACATGCATTTTCACTCAAACTCAGAAAATATTGTACTCTTGAGTGATTCTGAAGCATGGACATACTTTAATTCTTACCTACAACTGATTTATAGGGAAAAATATGAAGAGAAGTTGGATGTGTATGACTTTGGAGTTATACTATTGGAAATCATTACAGGGAGACCGATAAAAACCAAAAATGACATCCTACTTCTACGAAATCAGGTACTACACACACACACTTATCATCTGCCTAGTTTTCATTACCTTTGTATAGCTCTGAGAAATATGAAGTGAATAAGCTCAGAGCGTGTACATGGAAAATGAAAAAACTTCAGATGGAGCTGTGAACATTTGAATACTGCAATAAGATGCACATCCAGAAAACTACAGAGGTTAAAATGTACTCATCATTCGTTTCTTCTAGATGCAAAAACTGTAGAGTTATCTATCAAAACTCAAATAAAAAGTAATGTTAGGTAGTTATTGGTGCCTATTCATGATTCTGAGGTATTACTTATATTACTTATCTTTAGAGTTAATTTCTTCTTGTTATTTGATGTACTAGTTGCAGGTAAGCATGACTGGCAATGGAGTGAATGTGGTTGATCTAGCAATAAGAAGAAGTTCATGTTCGAGTGAATCATTGAGGACGATGATAGAGATGTGCTGCAGGTGTTTGTATGAGGATCCAGTGGACAGGCCATCGATGGAGGATTTGCTATGGAATCTGCAGTTTGCAGCTCAAGTTCAGGACGATTATCATAGTAGTGATGCCTCTCCAATTTCACCTATACAACGTTCAGGCCAACTTGTCATTCAATAGAGACCATGCCAATTACTAGCAACTAAGCATCTTTTAACTATTTTTGGACTCTAAAGTAGCTTGGCATTTGGACAAATAGATGTTAAGTTAAAGTATGAAAAAAGGAATATTTGATTTTGAATGTTGTTTGGCAGTCATAGGTTTATCCTACATTTGTCTCTACTTGTTCTATTTTGGGTGGTTCAAATTACAATGTGTCCCCTGCATATGAAGGGGGTTCCCTCCGATCTATTTTACTTGTCATGTTTTTTATTTTTATGCACGCATCCTGAACCATCTATTTTTAGTAAAAACGACAAGCAAAATGGACCAGATGCAGTAGTGATTGTCTGTTGAATCAACTCAATACATGCAGCTACCATATTCCAGATTTTCTTAACGGCTTTCTCCACTTTCTTGAGACACTAGGCTTCATAAAAGTCTTTGACTTTGTAAGGTATAGCACATTGCTGTCCAGATAATGTTAAAAGACATATACCAAATATTTGCTGCAACTGGACACTGAATGAAGAGGTGGGGGATAGATTCTAAACTGGAATTGACACATGTGGTTATCTATTGACTAACTGGATTTTATATACTGCTGAGGTTGTCTTGTGTCAAGCATGCTCATTTTAAGACTGTCCAGCTGAAGCGCATCATCTTTGTAGGGAGTCTAGTTCTCCAGATCAGCTTCCAAGGCCATCAATGAATCATTGTCTTACTGGAGCACATAAGGGCTTTGGCTGACTTGACTGATTATGACCCTTCTCTTGAGCAACCCCACTTCAGCCTGTCTGCTGCATTGTGATTGTTCACTGTTAAATGCTGCAAAGAGTACAGGAGTGTCATTAAGTCATCAACTTCCTCATCTTGAAGATGTCTCCTCAAAAGAGGGCTCAGGGTGTTCTCTCTATTCTATGCAATACTGGAGTTTTGATTGGCTGTAATAAGGAAAATATATGGGAAGGTTTGGTTTAGAGGTGAGTTCCCTACCCATATTGGATGAGAAATCCTGCCATATGGCTCAACTCTTCCTTTGCCATGAGGTATTGTGACTAGATTGGATATCCAGCTAAGAGTGACTTCCATTTTTTGCTGTGATGACATCTTTGCATAGCCTGGGATCTTCCAAATTACATCTCCAGTGCTATTTCATTAACATGCCTTTATTGTGGACTGCCAGATCCTTCACTCCCAGTCCACCCAATGGTTTAGGAAGTGTGACTTTAGGCCATTTCACTAGATGGAATTTGCGGCAAGACTGTTACCCTCCCATAGGAAGGTACTCCTGAGTCTAACTGATTTTGGAATTTGGCTGATATAAAAAGAGTGACATGAAATCGGTTGGTATGCTGTTCAGGACACCATTCATAAGGACCAATCTGCCTCTTAAGGGAGATAGGCCTTGCCAAGAGGCTAGCCTCTTTTCAAACTTTTGTTTCACACTATTACAGATCTCAGCTAGCATATTCAGTTCCGATACTTCATTCATATGGTAGATGATACATTTGACATATTGATGCGAAGACCAGGCATAGCCTCAAATAGCATAAGTGTGAGGTTTAGGTATAGGACTGGTGATTCCTCTGCTGCACATAAAATAAGATTGTCATGAGCAAAAGGAGATAAACAGAGACAATTGTACCAACATTCACAGTAAAGCCATCAATCCATTGTAGTTGTTTTGCCTTTACCAGCATCAAGCTAAGCCCTTCCATTGCCAAAATAAATAGGAAAGAGGAGAGGGGGTCTCCCTGCCTGATCCCTCTACTTGGAGAGAAAAATCCAACTGGACTTCTGTTGATTAGGGTGGAATTCTTGACATTTTTATCCCTCATCTAAACACTAGTATTTTTATACTACTTTTCTTCTTAAATTAACCACTCAATACACTGAGATACTCATAACCGACAACAATGACAGTATGGAACTCATGAAAAACAACAATTATTGCCAATTCAAACAGAGATCCCCAAAGAAGATACACAAATTTACAGAAAAATCTTTATAGGCGACAACCATTAGTATGATAATTTATAATTAGTTGCTTAGAGGTCTAGCTCTTACGGAATCCTTCTTAGAAGATGGTTGCATAAATTAGGTGTTTCTTCTTTAGGTGCTAGTATTTGTGTGAAATTTGAAATTTCTATTAATAAACTTAAAAGCTTTACATAGTTGTTACATACTTTGGGATTAATTTTTTTATGAAAAAAAAAGTCATCGCTAACTATAGCCAGCACTAAAAAAAATTATATTTAACAGACTATCAAACTACATGTCTTTCTTTTTATAAGTACTAATAATATTTTAATAAAAAAAATTTCTACAAGTCTTCTCTATTTATCTTTATAGTTTCGTACTTAATTACTTTATAATTTTGAATTTTAAGTTTATTAAAAATTATTCATTAGCCATTGCCAGCTCTAAAAAGCTAGCCGTTTAAGTTTGGAGTTCATTGAATCTGTTTCGATTTACTAAATTTCTGTATTCTTGTATCACACTATCGTCTTTTATAATTTTTAGTGCTTAAATATTAAATTAGTTACAAAAAATAAATCCTAATAAAGGGCCACCGACCCCACCTGTCTGTCCGCTTAGCTTAGTGGAATGGGATAGACCGAGGTCCCACCATCCCCCTCCTCCTCCCCCCCCCCCAAAAAAAATACAATCCCGTTAGATAGCCGGAGATGGAACCAAGTGTGATCTAAGCTGCATCTTTCGTCAATTTAATCAGTAAACTATTTTACTCACTTAATATTCCTTGATCTCAGCTACACGTTTTTGTATATCCTCAATCAATTTATGTAATATCTATTGTCAGAACACATTATAAAATTTGATCTTCTCCTTTTCTTTTGCTTCAAGCATCTGATTTTTGATAACCCATTAATCCAGACTAGCACCATAGAAAGCCTACTATATTTAGTGTTTCGTACCGAAGAAGACTCCCTTATTAGGACTCAGACCCGAGACTTATTTTAAAGAGTGAAGGAACCTTTCACATTCCACCACAACCCCTCCCTTCAATGGTCGCTTCAATCTTTTCTAGATTACAACATTTTACGCTCAAAGCCATGTTCTCTGTAGCTGAACTTGACAGTGGCATGCATTGACCTCATTTTTTTAAATACAAGCTGAAGAATAAAGGTACCACAACGTTTAAAGCAACAAAATCTTACCTTACTACATCATGTGTGCTCTGCTGGAAGGATTCCAGAACAACAAGCACTACTGCAAAAGCATTGAGAGCCTGTAGAGTTTACTGTAGTGTCCCCGTAACTGAAAGCGAGCTCTTCATTTTCCAAAATGACCCTGGAAGAGAAAAAGCAGACTCTGGGTAGCAGAGCTCCAGAATTTCGCACTATCAATGTAGAAAGGTTACCACCATCACAGGAATGGTTAATGAAGCGGGCAATATTGCCGATTCTGGTAGCATCAATGTTGATCCTCATACACGCATTTCCAGATGGAAGGTGCTCCTTCACAACCAGGAGTGCAGGTGAAAAGTGGCCACTCTTCGTACGTTTGTCATATAGCCACTGGCGATTTCTTGCTTCCTCAGTGGTCAAAAGTTCTCCTTCGAAAAGAAAAAGAAATCACAATCCAAAAAAGGAACCAGTTTGTCAAAAGGAATCATTATAAGTACACATCAGCACAAAAAGAACAAGAAAGTAGATAACTTTGTCCACGTCGACAATTTTCAAGTCTTGAGAAGTTTGAGAAAATTCATATATACTGTGTTTACTGATTAGTGAAATGCCAAGATAACTTCACCAATTTCAACAATTATTGTGGACACCACTCTCAAGAGAATAGTCAATTTAGCTTTATTTAGATGATTAAAAAATGGGGAAAGGCTCAAATATGCTGCCGAACTTTGAGAAAAGGCTCATCTATGTCATCCGTTAAAAGTTTGGCTCATCTATGTCATTTTCGTTAGAGAAAAAGCTCATCCATGCCATTATTTGTTAACTGAAATGGCATAAATGAGCCAAACTTTTAACAGATGACATAGATGAGCCTTTTCTCAAAGTTCGATGGCATATTTTAGTCTCAAAGTATTGATCCCTACTGTTTGTACAGTACTTCACTGAAACTTTGAACTGCACTCTTAATTCACGTTGATGAACCATCTAATCTTTTCACAGAACCTAAAGAATGAGGCCTTATCTGCTGACTTTAAACTTCAACATTTAAGAGTCAGAAGGCCTTTATATACACTTCAACCTCCGTTAAGTGCAAACAAATGAGACATTAATATCTATGCCTAATAAAAGTATATCACATAAATGGGATGGAGGAGTATATCCCCTTGAAGGAAAAAACCACATTTAGTTTCCTCAGTTGTGCACCTTAAGCAACATATGGCCAGAAGCGTGAGAATATTTGGTTTTTATTGGTGTCACATTTTTTACTTTATTCGCCTATTTCTTTATATCACAAAAAGTCTTGATTGTTTCTTGGCCAAATGCTGGTCAATATAAGTTAAAATCAATTATGCATCAAGCCCAAATAGTCAGAGTTGTCTACATGAATCCTTTGTGTTCACACCGCTTGTTTTGGCTCCATTTCATTCCAATATGGATAATTTCTCTTCTCTTCCTCTGTGTGAATCAGGTGTCTAAAACCAAAAGTTCTCAATGTCTCATACATATCCCTCTACTGAAATACAACTCTAGAAGAAGACTGTAACCAAACACCAAAACTAATGTACTAACAACTAAATCTCAATAACTAATCCAAAAAAAAAAAAAAAGAATCTTAATAGCAGCTAGTCTCTGCATAGATCATTTGTCATTATCATATTCAAATACAAATGGTTTCATCGGTATGTCTAGTATTTCACCAACTCTTTCAGTGATGCTTTTTATTGGTCAGTAATTTACCCTGAGATCAGAATCAATCTCAAACCTCATGTTGGTTAAACTTTCTTCCGACGAGACAACAAGATTGAAATAAGTTCAACACATTCTCCTCCCATTTGAGCATTAAATGGCAACTTTTATCGAGTCGTCAATCTTCTATCCACATAATAAGCAATTGAAGAAGCATATTGCAGTATCTACAATCTAAAACATTGTAATAAATGATATAAATAGGAGTTCAAATGAGCTCATTGTTGAACATATTCCCATCGAACAACAACATCAAAAGTTTACCTGTATACTCGCATATGAATTTCCCTTTTGGAATGAATTCAGCAGCACACAAGCTCCAGCCTTTTCTCCTATCCTTCACAACCTTCAGCTTCACTGAAATTCCTTTCTGAGTTAACCTATTACCACACTCCAACCCGCAACCGCAACTTGGCCCGCATTCTCGGGTCGGCAACTCAGAAAAATCCACACATGCGCAATTAGAACCGGAGTCCAAGTCGCAACTCTCACAATCGCACCCATAAGCACCCTCCACCCGAACTAGAAACGGGTCCGGCTTAACCCGACCCGATCCACCTCCCCATGGGATGGTTGGAAAGGTGGGTAAGGTCTGAACAGGAGAATAGATGAAATTGGCGTAAAGTTCGGAATCGACGGAGTTGAAGAAAGGAATAGGGTAATTCTCCAAGTTTCTAGAAGCATCGGAGATTCGTGTTGAAGTAATAGCCTTGGAAACTACATGTAACACGTTGCAGGTTGCTGAAACGGAGGCTAGACCGGCCGGCTCTAAGTATGGCAAGACAAGATGAGCCACCCGGCAAAATATTCCGGCGCCGTTGTCGTCTTTTTCCGATTCGCCGGTTCTCTGTTGTTTGTTCATTGTTGCCACTCAAATATTTTGATGATTCAGCTACGTCAAAATTTATTATATTTATAGCTTAATTAATATTTTTTAATTATATAAATATGATTTTTTTTTTAATTTATAGTATTTTTCATATAGTTTTAGAATATCTAATTCTTTTATTTAAAATATCAAATTAATGTGATCAAATTTACCTTTAAAAATTAGTTAAATTGACTTTCGATAAGTACTACATGATAAATAATTCTGAACGGTGGCAGCATATAGGTTTGTGAGTGCCTAGTCGCCATGTTATATTATATGTTTCACATTACGTACTTTTTCTAATCAATCTCATATAATTTATAGTAAAAAATAAATATAGATATATTAGACATCGAAAATTAACAAAGAAATACCTTTGCTATAAAAACAAATTATTTGAGACATTGTTGCTTCTATAAGAGATAAAAATACAATCTCTTTTTGTACTATACTATAAATTTAAACGACTTTCCCTATAATTTGTATTACACAATTTGCTATGCTAGTGTATAGTTTCTCTTTTCATCTTTTGCTCAGCTTTTTATGATTTTAAAATTGTCTTCCAACTTTCTTGTATTTGCATTCACATACTACAAAAATAGAAAAAGAAAAAATTAAGATAATTTTAAGATATGTATAACAAAAAAAAATATGTTTATAACACTCACCTCAGTAGTTAATGAATTTCTTGTTGCATGAACTCGCACATATCCAAATTCAACTTTTCTTACTAAACTCCATTCATCAGCCTGTGTATATCACAAGTATATAACTTTACTGTTACAGTGAATAAAGTACGATTTTTATTTTAAACGAATCGAGGTAGAATTAATTAATTACCTGAGAAGGGAATTGGTCCAAGTTAAACCCAGCCATTCCAATAACAGCATGAACAGGTGCACTATAATTGGAATTATCATAAGTATCAATTCCACTTGCATCTTTAGTAGGCATTGCTTTACATTCCTTTTGATATACTGCACAAGTCCTCTCATAATTGTGTACATGTCCAAATAATGCTAGATCAACCTGGCACGTTTTTCCACGTAACGTATTAATTGACGATCTGATAAAAATGATAATTGTTTTTGAGATTCTCGATATCTAGTGTAGCTTCATATTATCGAGGATATAACTCTAGATAAGAAGGAAGGTCGATATCAGGGTAGAGGGTTAGTAGAGGTACACAATGTGTTGTCTTGCGTTCAATAAGTTTAGGCTTATAAGTGCATGATGTAGCACTAGTCGAACCCTTGTAGTTCTTGTTATATGGAGTTTATATATTGTATTCGGTATTTTTGTTGTTGTTATCACATCTTTCTTTATTGTAGACTTTATACTTTAATTTTTCTTATTAATTGTTATATTTTCCTCGTTATTTTCTTCGTTTACTTAGGTTTGATACACTAGAGCCGAATGTCTTTTGAAAACAGTCTTTACCTCAACGAGATAGTGATAAAATCTGTGTACACTCTGTAGTAAACTCGAATCCAACGATAACTCTTTAAGTCATTTCTCAACTATATTAATTAGGCTAAAGATTAATTAAAAATTTCATCAACTACATGCAATAACTAAAATGCAAAAGCCCACACAGAATTACAGAAATATTAAAAGTAAGAACTAGGATCGACTAAAGGAGTTAGAGAAAGCAGGATGAGAGATATAGACTTTACCTAAGCATTATACTAATATGTATAAACCTATTTTGCTCTCACAATCTCTATTTATCAATCGAAATTCCACACATAGCTACTTAATCCGGTGTATGTTGGGCTGCTTTGCCAATGCTGGTCTAGGTCATTCATTACACACTCTATGTATCCTCCTTAGACCCCACTGAGTGAGATTTCACTAGGTATACTATCGTTATTGTACTCGTAATCTGGCTTGATCGACCCAATCATTATAGTGTATATATAACTCGACTCCATATAAAGCAATTAGAGCTTACCTTGTTTGCCAATAGTAATGGCTCAACAGCTTCGACAAAATCATCATCAACGTTTTGAAGAATTCCACCAGTGACAGAAGAATACATAGGTCGATGCCTATGAAGAAATCAACATATTATTATTATTATTATTATTAAAAAAAAGGGAAAATAAATAGTACTATGTAATTAATTAATTTAATATTATTTCAAAATTGTTGTAACATTTTCTCATCTAGACATTCCACTATTTCACTTGATATAGTCGATTTCAATTTGTCTGAAATTGATGCAATGACTAACATATTACCACATATTATAATTCACTTACCCCATAAAAATTAACCACGGTGTTCTTGTTCGATCAACTGAAGCCATGTCATTCTTCATCCATTCATACTGTTCGATCAAATAAATACATATGACGTGAACTTAGTAACTTTTATGCAGACTGTGTATATGTAGTACGAAATCGACTTATAAAATATATGTATATATATACCTGCTCTGAATTTTGAGACCAATCATGTTCAGTTGAAATAACAGTGAAGTGAACACTTCCTTGTTCAATAGAGTACCATGGTTTGTCTTTAGCTTGTGTTGGCATTTGAAAATAAGTTTCATAAGGTACACCACATTCTCCACCTGAATCTGGTGTTCCATATACTGATCCTGTACCTATATAGTCCCTGAATATAATTTTTCACATTCAAAATTATACGTAGAGGTGTATCCAGGATTTTGAGACGATGGGTGCAACGTTATAAAACTGTTGATCTATGAAATGAAATTTGATCGGTTTGACATTTAGGTTTTTACTACTGAAAAAACCGTTCTCAGAGAAGTGTTATCTAATTTTAGAGAAAAAAAGAAAGAAAAACAACTAACTTGCGTAAAGAGGTGTACCCAGTCATAATCACATTATGTGATGATACTTCAAGTGTGGGTACACATATCTATATTTCAATATTTTTAAAAAAAATAATATAACACTACTATATATGATATCAGAAAGGGACCATGGGTTCACTTGAATCCAGTAACCCTCTCAAATTCGCCCTTTTAACTTTGTAATTTAGAACGTATAATATACCCTTCATTATCTAAAAAAAAGAGTGTATTTATCTTTTTCGTTAACAGACTAGATTAAAAAAACTTGAGGTGATTCTCAAGTTAATAGGTATTTATATCGAGTGATCATACGTTTGAAATTAATTTCAGTACGTAACAAAATATACCTTTCATGATTTCCGATAGCGGTCATGTATGAAATACGAGAGGCAATTGGAGTGATTAGATGTAGAAAATAATCCCATTCTACTAGAAATCCAGTAGCATAACTTATATCACCAATGTGGAATATAGAATCAACATTTCCAGATGATACTTCATCAACCATAGCTTTCACCACTGATAATGATCCTGGCTAAAAATTCACATATAATATGCACAATAATTAATGAAATTTGAATCAAAACTTGATGTGTTAAATGATATATGTATGTTTCATACGGAAAAGAAAACATTTTGTGAAAAATATTTTTATATCATGTTCAGTTTAACTAGGAAAATATTTTTCATTCCTTCAATACAAGGGATAAAATAAATATTCATCGACGTCTTTCTTTTTTATTAAGCTAATCTTTTTTTATGTCACTTCCATAGAAGGCAGAGGTGGAATCAGAATCTTCAATAAGGGGTGCAAAATCTAAAGAAATAGACACACGAAGTATAGTCGGAGGTGGTTCGATATGTATTATATATATATACACTTAAAAAAATATTTTAACCATGTAAAAATAATATAATTTTTCGTTGAAGGAGGTTCGGATGAACCGACTCCGCTACTGACTGAAGGTCGGATATGTGCAACTTATACCATCATCAGACAGATTAATTACCAGTAGTTTCATGCCACCCAACATCTTGCATGAGACGTAGTAAGAAAATCTCTTATTTTCTTAAAAAATATATATTATTTTTATGAAAAATATTTAAACCATGTAAAAGTAATATAATTTTCCTTCGAAGGAGTGAACCGACTCCGCTACTGACTGAAGGTCGAATATGTGCAACTTATACCATCATCAGATAGATTAATTACCAGTAGTTTCATGCCACCCAACATCTTGCATGAGACGTAGTAAGAAAATCTCTTACTTTCTTAATAAATATATATTATTTTTCATGAAAAATATTTTTCTTCTTACCGAGCATCTCCATTATTAATTAAAGGACTTAATAAAAATATTAATTAGTGTAATTACCTGAATATAATGTTCTGCAGAAGGATCTCTAGGAGCTTTTCCCATATCACCATATGCCAAAAATCTAACCTCATTTGTTCCACCAGCTGGTGGTGTTTTGAAGGTAATTCTTTCACTCCAACCACTTGAATCACTATATTAATTGAGTAATTAGAAAGAAAGAAAAAAACATATCGTCGTTATAAAAACGTAGAATCATTTAAACTTTCAGATAAGATAATAACGCGACTTAATAATATATGTAACATATTGTCTAATGATATATACCTTCCATATGTGTAGTAGTTTGTGGTTGATGGATTAAGGCCAGTCATTACTGCTGAATGAATGAAGCCAGGATCATGCCATCCAAAGTCCTTAGCTGGACTTTTTAATATAGAACCTAATTAAAAAGATTAACAAAATGGTTATGATCTTAATTAATTTTTTATTATTATTAAAATGGTTATATTATTAATTAAGTATGGTTTTATGATAACTTACTGCACATGTCCTTTTGGGTAAAGGTAGAAACTTGTGATGTTTGAGATTTTCCATATCCATATTGTAGTTGTTGAGGTGTTTCATCTCCACTAACCCATGTTACTCTCATCTAAATATAGGGCCACAAAAAAATAATTAATGATCAATATGGTATAAGTAACGCGAAACTCAGACTCCATTTATGAAATTATACGTTGTTGTATGGTATTAACACGAACCAAGGAATTAAAATAAGAAAAATAAACTATTCTAGTTAGACTATATTCTAAATGGTACTTCATCTGTTCCTTTTTACTTGTCAAATTTTGACTTGACACACCTATTAAGTAAAACAACATTT